AGGATGTTCTTGGGGTCCATAACCTTTACATTATCCAGTGCCTTCGGCCATTTCTTCACCAGCCAGTGGAATGAACTGAGTCACTGAAGATTGGCATCTGTCTTGCTAGAAACCTCAAACTATGATGAAGGTGGATCATTCACTTGGTGTTTCTTGCAGAAGATGAATTCAAATTCTTCAGCGTTGTCTTTTGCGCTGATGTACTGGGCTCTCCATTCATGAAGATGGGGATATTTATGGAGCATCCTCCTTCTATTCCTGAAACTCTCTTTTCCCTTTTTGCCTTTTGGAATTTTGGTTCTAACTGCTGCTTCAGTTTTAAATCATCTATTTCGTTATCCTCAGTCTCTGGGTCTAGATATTCACCAAATGTTTTGTAATTTCTCTTTTGCTGGTTTTCAGGCAGAAATTCCCCTCTAAATGCTTAGTTATTAGTTTTAATTCTTCTAAAAAAAACTTATAATGTTTTCATCATCTGTTCTGTTTTGCTGTAGTAAAGCATTAAGATTAAACATGGACATCTTTGTATCTTTAATATCTTATCTTAACAGCTTTTAAAGGAACAATTTGTTCCTCTCCCTCCCCACCATCCCCAACCCCCACTCCAATTCAGTCGATCTCCCTGTGGGAATGTCGTGGACTAAGCCTCCAAATTTGTTATAATAAGGTGAGGAGAGTTCCTTTGTTTTGAACTCCCATCTCAGTCAGTTGTGAAAAAATGTCTCCTTTCTTTTCCAACATGTAACTATCACATATCAATTCAATATAGTTACTCAGATAAAAAATGAATTGGAGCAAATTCCAAATTATCAAGAATGTGACAACAAAAACACACACAAATATAGGTAATGTTCTGAAAAAACACGGGGTGGAGATGTTTAGTACAGATAGCCCTGCACAGTGACCCAGTGGTTAGCACTGCTGCCTCATAGTGCCAGGAACCCGGGTTTGATTCCACCCTCAGGTGACTGTCTGTGTGGAGTTTGCACATTCTCCCCGTGTCTGCGTGGGTTTCCTCCGGGTGCTCCAGTTTCCTCCGACAGTCCAAAGATGTACAGGCTACAGGGGATTGGCTATGCTAAATTGCCCGTCGTGTTCAGGGATGTGTAGATTAGGTGGGTTATGGAAGGATGGGTCTGGGTGGGATGCTCTGAGGGTCAGTGTGGACTTGTTGGGCCGAAGGGCCTGTTTCCACACTGTACGGATTCTACAGTTCTATGTTAGTTAAAGGTAAATACAGTTACAGATTTTAAGAGAACAGTCGGTTGTGAAAATGGAAAGAACAGACCGCAACCATTTAGCAGTTGTTGTTTTTCTTGAGCAGTAATAAAAGTTGTTGAATTTAAGTTATCCATCAGTGATGATGTTTCCAATTTGTTTTCCACTGGCACTGGTTACTGTGATTGGGAAAGAGGGAGACTGAGAGAGCGGGAACAGTTTTTAGTACCCTTATTGTTGACATTCCATGTGGCTGGATCCCTCTTTCCTTGCTCAAAGGCTACTGGTAATGAACCACCCTGTTGCAGATTCTGGTGTCTGTGCCGTTGTGTTTCATTCAGCAGCCTTTCATCTCTCAATATGTGAATTTGTCAGGCAAATATGATATTACAGTTTCAGCTGGGTGGTACTCCCGGACAGGTCAGATCCTAGAACACAACTTGGCTTGATAGACTTTTTTTTGTTCAGTTCGTTAATATGATGCTTAGTCACTGAAATACATTCACAAGAGTCTGCAGATTTTATTTAACAGTAAGCTTATTACACAAGAGAAGACTTTAAAAAGCTATCTAAATATAGTAGAAAGTTAGCAGGCTCTAAAATGTGCAGTAAATCTGTTTCCCAACACTATCCTTTCCAGGGACACAATTCCAGAGAAATTACCATCCCCAACTTATTTTAACACTTTATGTTTCTACTTAACTGACTCCAGTTTCTCTGCCATGGAGTGTAGAGACAAATCATGAAGTCTTTTCCAGGTCTGCTGACATGAATTTTTCACAAATCTGGGAGCCTCAACTTTCTCAGTTCTAATGACCTGCAGATTTTTTTTCTTTTTATTCATTCCTGGGATGAGGGCGTCACTGACCAGGCAGCATTTATTGTCCATCCCTAATTGCCCAGAGGCCAGTTATGCATCAACCCCATTTCTGTGGGTCTGAAGTCACACGTAGGCCAGACCAGGTAAGGATGGCAGTTTCCTTCCCTAAAGGACATTAGTGAACCAAATGTGTTTTTCCAACAATCGGCAATTGATTCATGGTCATCGTTAGACTCTTAATTCCAGATATTTTATTGAATTCAAATTCCACTATCTGCTGTAGCAGGATTTGAACCTGGGTCCCCAGAACATTATCTGGGTCTCTGGATTAACAGTCTAGTGATAATACCAATAGGCCACTGCATCCCCAAACTCTCCTGTTTTGGAGTTTTACAAATTGAACCCCACTGCAGAGGTACAGGTTCCCTTAGCTGCACTGAAATCCTTCTAGGAAAGAAACTAAATGTGCTTCTGAACTCAACCCTGGTGACTTATGAACTGAATTAAAAACTTGCTTAATCCTAGATCCTTCTGAACTGACCTTAAATGTTTACGTTACCTATCACAAAGCCAATAGTATAATCAACTTTCCATTAAAATCATAGAATCCCTACAGTGTGGAAACAGGCCCTTTGGCCCAACAAGTCCACACCAAACCTCAGAGCATCCCACCCAGACCCATCCCCCTATAACCCACCTAAGCTGCACATCCCTGAACACCATGGGCAATTTAGCACAGCCAATCCACCTAACCTGCACCTCTTTGGACTTTGGGAGAAAACTGGAGCACCCAGAGGAAACCTATGCAGACATGGGGAGAATGTGCAAACTCCACACAGACAGTTGCCCAAGGGTGGAATCAAACCTGGGTCCCTGGTGCTGTGAGGCTGCAGTGCTAACCACCAAGCCACCGTGCTGCCACCATGCTGCCCCTGTGAGTCTGTCATGACTTACTTTCTGACAAATGTGAGATTGCAGTGATTGATCTGCTATAACAGCACCTCCATAGGATGGTGTGTGTAATGGGAGTCTGGTAACTGACATGAACAGTGTCCATTCCACACCAGGATATAGGAACTTATGATGGGAACTATTCTTGGAGCACAGGAGGAACAATTTGATCATTGTTGCAAGTGCCAACTCTTCAGACGAACCCATTGCGCTTTCCCTATAACCCTGCTTTAGTTTTCCTTTTCCAGTATTTGTCTCCTTTCTCTTCTGAAACATGGAGAATAAGGTTCTCCTCATCTGCACCCTTGATCTTTTTGCCAATTATCTGGCTCCCATCTGTGTTTATTTTAGGGATGTGGGTGTTACTGGCTGGGCCAGCATTTATTGCCCATCCCTAGTTGCCCTTGAAAAGGTGATAGTGAGCTGCCTTCTTGATCTGCTGCAGTCCATGTGCTGTTGATAGACCCACAATGCCCTTAGGGAGGGAATTGCAGGATTTTGACCCAGCGACAGTGAAGGAACGGCAATATATTTTCAAGTCAGGATGGTGAGTGGCTTGGAGGGGAGCTTGCAGGTGGTGGTGTTCCCATATATCTGCTGACCATGTCCTTCTACATGGAAGTGGTCGTGGGTTTGGAAGGTGCTGTCTGAGGATCTTTGGCGAATTTCTGCAGTCTCTCACCACTATTTACCAATCTTCCACCCACTACAAACAGATTCTATCTACTTTATCCCGTCAGAAACTTTCATGATTTTGACCGCCTCAATCAAATCTGCTCTTAACCTTCTCTGCTCCAGGGAGAACAATCTCAGTTTCTTTCATGTCTTTGCACTCAGCATCTTCACCTCTGGTGGCCTTCTAGTCAATCTACTCAGCATTCTGTCTGGAACCTCTCAGATGCATGTAGACATTAACTCTCTCCATATTGCAGTTCTCTGTGGGTAACTGCATTGAACCAGCAGTAGCAACAGCAGGTTAGAGAAATCTATAACTTTATATGATGCCTGTTTTGCTGCCATTCTGCTTAGGCACCTCTAGCCTTGTGTACAGCAGTGGTGCATTCTAACCCTGGGTTGTGAGGATGTTAGTGCTGGCTGTCTATGGTAGTTCTAAGGAACCCCCTGAATGTTGTAAATTGTTCCGGTCGTCTAATTAGGCAATTGGGAAGTAGCTGGCAATAGAGCTGGAGTTTCTGGGTGACAGACAGGGGCAGGCTCTGGTTATTTGATGGTTGGGGAGGGGGACAGGACCTGGGGCTGAGAGGCGTGGGTCTGTCGCTGCTTCTGCTGGGGCTTACAGGATCAGTAACCCTTTCGGTCCCTGCGCTTCCCAGTTACTGACAAGCTGTGACCATAGCGTCCTGATTTCGACGCCAGAGCTGCAGCCGTTCCCCCTACAGTTACCACTAGCTCTGTGTAAAGATACCTAGTGCTCTGTGTTGAACCTCCTGATTAGTGAGGGATTGGAGTGGAGTGGAGGGGAGGGGAGAGAGTGCCAGATAGAGGTCTGGAGGCAGCTTGAGAGTGTTTCCAGTCACCGCGTTTGCTGCGGGGGGGGGGGGGGGGGAGTGCCAGAGAGAAGTGGAGAATCGAGGAGGACTGAAGCTGAGCAGTGTGCAGACTTAACAGGTGTTAGCCCCAGCTCCTGGGAGACTGGCGGAGTCGCAACAATGCAGGATTAACTTGCCAGCTCCCTGAAGATTGCCCAAGGCTCTGGGTGCTTTTTTTTGCAGAGGGACAGTTCGCGATGGCTCACTGTGATCGTTGGACAGGAAGGAATTCTCAATCTCCAGCACCCAGTCCGGATTTGCATTGAATAAACTGCGAGCCATGTCTCCTGCAACAGATTAATCTTCTCGCTGCTTCAACGATCATGCTATGGTGATTTAAAACAAAAGCCAAGAGCTACTGCTGCTGCAGACTGCTTTGGAGATCAGGATCCTTCCTCTCCCCGTATCAATTGCAAATCTCCCCTTTTTTTAAAGTTAATTTTTATTTTAACGCCGTTACAATGGCTGCTGCTATCGCCAGTTCTCTTATCAGACAGAAGAGACTGGCTAGGGAACAGAGAGACAAGTCATTCCCGTCCAAACGTATCAGTAGCCCCAGTAAAAGCAAAGGGATCTGTGATAGGCACTGGTTTACTGTCTTTTCCAAAGTCAGGATTTTTGGCTTGAAGAAACGCCGCAGGAGGCGCCCAGGTTTGCTGCTTATCTCATTTAGCTTTTATTTTGGTTTCTTAAAAAAAAAATTCTCTTATTTATTTCCAAACCGTAGGCACTGATTTTCCGTGTCCAGGTACGTCGCTTTCGCCTGTTTCTAAATGCTTTGCAGTCATTTGGCTTAAAGTTGTATTTTATTTTGTTTTTTTAATTTGTTTGTTTACACGAATCCTTTGGAATGTGTGAGCCCTCCCTGGGTCAGTTTCAGAACCCAGTGTTCACACTTGTGCTGCAAAGAGGCAGACAGTGTGTGTGTGTGTGGGCAATGAGATTTGGAACACGCACACAGTTTCTGCCTTTCCTCCCCTTTACAGCCCAGACGACGCATTCCTGCCTTCAAAATTGCATTTATCAGAGACACAGAGAGAGAGAGAGACAGAAAAAAAAGCAGCATCGAGTAAAATGCATGGGGTTCCCGATTGAAACTTTAAAAAAAAGCTATGGGGATATCATCAAGTAATGAGATGGGTGTGTGGGTGGGTGTGTGTGTATGGGGGTGGGAGGGCTTTTCCAGAGAAAGTAGAAAAATCCAGAAACCAACAATCAGCAGAAAGATGAGGCCCAATGGGAATGGGGTTATTGCTGGGTTTTTGCCCCTGGCACAGTGAAATGACAGAAAGGTTTGGGCATATGTGCGCTGTCTGCTGGACTCCATGAAGAGTTTGTATTTACTAACACCAGACATCCCTGTGATTTACTCAGCCCTGTCATTTACCAACATAGACAAGCCAGTGTTCATTTGCCCGCTTCTGAACTGCACTCCTTTACACTTAAAATGATTCCCTTCCCCCCTACCCCTCATCACCCTCCGACACATTGATTGGCTGCATTTAGACAGCGCTGAGTTTGCTGGAGTGTGGACCCCACCTGCCAACAGGTCTTCACTGCAGCCTAGGGAGGGTCTGCAGGTTGCAGATGGAGGCTCCAGGTCTCTCCTCTGTGTCCGGGAACCTCTCCTCCCTTATGGGAGAAAGATCAATTGGTCACAGAGTCCATTCCAAAGTGAAGTAGAGCAGCAGGCTGTCACATAGGCAGCAATATTGATGTGTAACTGTACACAATACAGAGCTGATGAGTATTTCCTGGGAGAGTTTCCAATTCCAGCACCGTGGTTTGTTTTGGAGAGAGAGAAAGTGTTGGGGTCCTTAGTGGTTAAAAGTCTTCCACAAAAAAACTTCTTATTTTCAGACATTTTGGTGAATTATTCAATTATTTCAATTAAACTGGAGAGGAAAATGGTTCTAGGAAAGGGATGTTCAGATTTTAATTAAGTTTCAGTGACACTGGTCAAGTTTTATTCTAATATTCAGGATTATCCTGTTGCTCCATCAGAGCCAATCTCTTTTTAAGTGTATGCTGAAAGAACTGCAGATGCTGTGAATCAGAAATGAAAACAGAAATTGCTGGGAAAGCTCAGCAGGTCTGGCAGCATCTGTGGAGCGAAATTAGAGGAAACGTTTTGGGTCAAGTGACCCTTCCTCAAAACTCACAACACAATTTCTGTTTCTGGTTCTCTTTTTAAGTGTCCTGTATCAGTCTGTTAGGAAGTTACAGCCAGTTCGACTGGGAAGTCGCCTTTTACCATCACCAACTAGTCTCAATGTTTATAGCCTGTAAGAATCTGATTGTCCAATGTACAATGTTGTAGAGTATGTATATTCACCAAAGATCCTCAGACAGCACCTACCAAGCCCACGACCACTTCCATCTAGAAGGACAAGGGCAGCAGATACATGGGAATAGCACCACCTCCAAGTTCCCATCCAAACCATTCACCGTCCTGACTTGGAAATATATCGCCATTCCTTCACTGTTGCTGGATCAAAATCCTGGAAGTCCATCCCCCAGTTGCATTGTGGGTCATCCTACAGTACATGATCTGCAGCATTTCAAGAAGGCAACTCACCATCATCTTTTCAAGGGCAACTAGGGATGGGTAATAAAAATGCTGGACAGCCAGAAACACCCACGCTCGGTAAGGGAATAAAAAAGTAGAGGGAGAGCGAACGGTTGTCCAACTGCAGTAACTAAAGGTTGTATATTGGTTGAATGTTCTGGGCACTGTTACAATCACCATTAAATGTGGGTGTCCATGTGTGTGATTGGGCTCCATCTTTAATTCTGAATATATTCACTGGTGACTCCAGACATCTTTCTGAAGAGGTAACTGCTATATGTATGCCTGGAAGGTATGTAGCGTATGGGATTATAATCTGTTCTCTCAACATACCACCCATCATTAACAGAAACCAGAAATATATTCACCAATGAATTCCCTCTCTGCAGATGTTGGAAATCTGAAACAACGAAGAGAATGCTGAAGAAAATCAGTAGGTCTGGCAGCATCTGTGGACAGACAGAATTAATGTTTCAAATCCAGAAAGACTCTTGTGTTCTGAAGAAGAGTCACATTGGACTCGAAAGGTTAAATCTTTATTTCTGCCTCCGCAGATGCTGTCTAAGTACTTTTTAAACAATGTAATATGTTATTTTCTTTACATTTGCTTGTAATCTTAAAGGCAGATCACAATATCAGAAATTCCCCCAAACAGGGGTTAATGCAGTCAATATTTTCCTCAGAATTTCAAATGAATGAACTTGCTAAAAATGTTAAAATTTTGTGACTTTCTCCAGTCTTACATAAGGTTATAAAATTCAAGACAGTGAGTGCTGAGGTTTCAGAATGAGTGTGCGGATGAGGTACTGGTTCAATTTTGTCAGGCTTTTCGAGATTCTGGATTTTGAGTCAATGGAACGAGAAACCCTGAACCCTGTGATGGTTGGTATGTTGTTTCCTTAGTCCAGACCTATCTAACAGAGAGTTTTGTTTCTATTTCAGAGCCTCAGCTTAAAGGTATCGTAACAAAGTTATACAGCAGGCAAGGCTACCACTTGCAATTACAGCCAGATGGCGTTATCGATGGGACAAAAGAGGAAGGCAGTAGTTACAGTAAGTAACATGATATTATTTAATACATTGGGTTTGCAATTGTTACATGTCATCTCTTCCATTCGAAATAATTTAAATATTCTCAATGAAGCATAACTTCAGAATAATATTGCATAAATTGGATTGATTAGGAGCTGCCAGAATCATAGAATCCCTACAGTGTGGAAACAGGCCATTCGGTCCATCAAGTCCACACCAACCCTCAGAAGAGCATCCCATTCAGACTCGCCACTGCCTGTAACCCTACATTTCCCTGGCTAACTCAACTAGCCTGTACATCCTTGGACACTATGGGGCAATTTAGCATGATCAATCCACCTAAACTGCACATCCATGGACTGTGGGAGGAAGCCAGAGCACCTGGAGAAAGCCCACACAGACATGGGGAGATTGTGTAAGTTCCACACAGACTGTTGCCCGACTGGAATCAAAGCTGGGTCCCTGGCGCTGTAAGGCAGCAGTGCTAACCACTGAGCCAGCATGATGCCAATGGATAGATTTTTTTTAAAGGGAAACTTGTGTTTAGTAAATTTGCTGGATGCTTTTAAGAGAGGGCAGAGAGGCTTGATGATGGTATTGCCGTTGTTATGGTGTACAGAGGGGAGCTGAATGATGGTATAAATTGAATGTCACTGGAGTTTGTTATTCAGAATCCTGTGTTGGGGACATGGGTTTGAATCCCACCGTGACAGATGGTGAAATTGGAATCCAATTAAAATCTAAACTGTAAGGTGAACCTGATGGTGGCTATGTAATCACTTGTTGTAAATGTTCTTGAGGGAAGGAAATCTGCCATCCTTACCTGGTCTGGCCGACTCTAGACCTGTGATTGACTCTTAACTGGCTTTGATGGGCAATGAATGCTGGCCTAGCCAGTGCCAGAAGTCACAGGACACCAGGTTATAGTCCAACAAGTTTATTTGAAATCTCAAGCTTTCAAAGCACTGCTCCTTTATCAGGTGACGTGTTGGACTATAACGTAATATTTTTCCAGCTGGAAGATGGTTTGTAGTGGAATTCCCTAAGGGTTGGTATCGGGACTCTTGCTTTTACTGATATATTTTACTGATCGAGATCTTGGTGTGCTGGGACAATTTCAAAGTTTATGGATTGTACGGAACTTGGAAGCATTCTAAACTATGAAGAAGACAGCATAGAACTTCAATTATAAGGCATATAAAGTTTATGGAGTAGGCATGTAGATGGCAGGTGAAATCCAATGCAGAGAAGTGTGAGCTCATTCATTTTAGAATATGGAGAAACACCAAAGTGGGTGCAGGATCAAAGGGACATTGGTGTACGTGTACATAAGTCACTAAAGATGGCAGAACAAATGGAGCGAGCAGTTAATAAAATGTATAGTATCTTGCGCTTTCTGAACAGGAGCATAGAGTACTAGAATGTGATGGTAAACTTGTAGAGGACCCTTGGTAGAGCTCAGCTACACCTGTGTACAGTTTTGGGCACCACACTAATAGGAAGAACGTGAGTGCATTGGAGAGAGTGCAAAAGCGATTTACAGGCATAGTTCGCAGATGAGAACTTTCAGTTATGACAACCGGTTAGAGAGGTTGGGACTTGTTCTCTTGGAGAGAAGCAGTCTAAGACGAAATTTATCGAAGTTTTCATAATTATGAGTAAGCTGGCTAGAGGTAGTCAAGGTGAAAATGCTCGTGCTTGTAAAAGGATTGAGAATGCGAGGGCACAGACTTAAGGTGATTTGCAAATGTGTTGCAAGGAGAAGCTCATTCACACAGTGAGTCATTTGCGTCTGGAATGCTGCAGGCCAAGATGAAGGGTCTAGGCCCGAAACGTCAGCCTTTCTGCTCCTATGATGCTGCTTGGCCTGCTGTGTTCATCCAGCCCTGCACCTTGTTGTCTCGGATTCTCCAGCATCTGCAGTTCCTACCAGCTCTGGGTCTGGAATGCAGTGCCTGGAAATGTGGTGGAGGCAGGTGCAATTGAGACATTCAAAAGGGTATCGGATGGTTTTTTTTTAATTGTATCAAGGTGCAGGCTGGCAGGGAAAATTCAGGAGAATGGCAGAGAATCATTTGGAGTGTAGCTGCAGATACATTGGTCCAAATGGCCTCCTTCTGTAAAAACCAAAAGAATTGCGGATGCTGTAAATCACGAACAAAAACAGAAGTTGCTGGAAAAGCTCAGCAGGCCTGGCAGCATCTGTGAAGGAAAAAACAGAGTTACTGTTTCGGGTCTGGTGACCCTTCCTCTGATTTCTCTTCACAGATGCTGCCAGACCTGCTGGGCTTTTCCAGCAACTTCTGTTTTTGGGCCTCCTTCTGTACCCTACAAGGATCAAGGAAGCCATGCTAAATCATTATAAATCACTGGCTAGACCTTAGCGGAAGGATTTGAGTACCACACCGTACCTTAGCAGGGAAGCCAAGGCTTTGGAGGAGTGCAGCAGTGAGGGATTTGAGACATACAGAAAGGGGAAATCCAAGTTGGTGCTCCTTCGTGGAGGTGCAGGGGAGAATTTACAGAGCTGTGCTCAATGAGGAGCTGTTCTAAAAGGAACAACTGGAGAAATTACTTGCAGTGGCAGAAGAACCACTAACCAGAGCATGGAATCTGAAGGGAACTAGCCAATGAACTGTAGAGGAGATCAGGTGAATCTTTTTCCTGTGATTGAGACGAGCTGGCCTGACAGGGTGGTTAGCAATTGATTCAGAAGTAACTTTGGAAAGAGAATTGAATTCAGAAAAACATGGAAAGGAAAGAAATGCAGGGTTATGGGGAAAGAATTGGGTAGACAGTCTAATTGGAAAACTCTTTTAAAAAGTCAGTTTAGCAAAGTGGGCTGAATGGTAATGTTCAGTGGCATATTATTTAATGATCGCTCAGCTGAATAAATGAGACTTAAATATTTTAGAGAAACAAATCCTTTTTATGCATCAAGTCCACGGTCTTTGCAATGTGTATATATGACAGCAGACACTGGGGAGAAGAAAACAGGAATTCTAAAAGAAATTTCATCAGTCAAAAGATAAATAAATGCATTTTGTCTCCAAAATGGACTTTTTTTGGCTTTTAAAAATTCTGACTGTGTAAATGTCGTGTTACAGTGTGTCGTCTTCCTGTTCTTCAACTCAAGTGCAACCTTCTCAATCGACAGAAAGTGAATAATCACATCAAAGGTGTGGGGGTGGGGGAAGAAGAGGAGAAATTGCTGCAGATTGCAGTCTTTTTGTGTTGCAAATTTCCCTAATTATTACATTTACCAGTCAGTAATTGGCCTGGGTCTTAATTTATAAGTCCTACACTATGTTCTCCAGCAATGTTTGCTATTAGATTTTGTTGCTGTGGGCAACCAGATTATTTTTGATGCACGATAGTTAAAAACTTTGATGATGTGGTATTAAACAGCTGACAAGGCTTGTATGATACCTTCCAGGCTGCACATGTATCCCCTGGTGTAGCACAAACAGACCTCTAAACTGTAGTGCTTTACTCCTGAAACACAATATCCTCAGAGAATTGGAGCAGTCAACATTTCGGGTATTATCCTTCTTCAGGACTGAATCTGGGGGTAGGGGGAGCTGCAGATAAAGAAGTTGGGGGGGTGGGGAGGGGGTGGAGGCGGAATGGTGGTGATAGGTGGGCACTTGTGGTAGGTACGACCTGGTTGGTCGATGGGAGGGATGAATCCGATCGGTGACTGGAAGGAAGGGTCAGAAGGTGGAATGGGAGGGAGGAGGTGGGGCTGGAAAGGGGAACTGGGGTATGGGTGGGAAGGTTATTTGAAATTGGAGAACTCAATGTTGAGTCCTCCTTGCTGTGGGGTGCCCAGGCGGAAGATAAGGTGTTGTTCCTCAAATTTGCGTTCCGAGTCGCAGTGACACTGGAGGAGGCTGAGGACGGACCTGTCAGAGGGGGAGTGGGGCAGGGAGTTGAAATGGGTGGTGACCGGGAGGTTAGGTTGGCTGTTAAGGTCCAGGCGGATGCTCACAGAACATCTCCGCCTGGACAACGTTGAGTTCTCCGATTTCAAATAACCTTCCCACCCATCCCCTGCCTCCCCTTTCCAGCCCCACCCCCTCCCTTCCAATGCACCTTCTGACACTCTCTTCTAGCCACCAACCAGATTCATCCCTCCCATCAACCAACCAGGTCGTACCTACCACCAGTGTCCACCTATCACCATCAATCCGCCTCCACCCCTCCCCCCCCCCATTTCTTTATCTGCAGCTGCCCCTACCCCCACATCCAGCCCTGAAGAAGGGTAATACCAGAAATGTTGACTGCTCCTTTCCTCCAGATGCTGCCTGGCCCGCTGTATTCTTCCAGCCTCCTGTTTGTCTACCTTGGATTCCAGCATCTGCAGTTTGTTTTGTCTCCATCCTCAGAGTATTGCGTTTCTTGTATCCTTTGCAGTTTGATGTGTACTGGCCCTGGTCTGTTCTCCTCTCTGAAATATAATTTGTTCCTTCATACCTCACGCTGCACTCCCTAGCGCCCCCCCCAACCACTGCCCTGCACTCCCTCTGTAGCCCTGCTCCCTGCTTGTTAAGTTCACATCTTATAATAAAAGTACCATGGATGCCGGAAATCTGAAATAAAAGCAGAAAGTGCTGGAGAAACCCATTGGGTCCAGCAGCGTCTGAGGAAAGAGAGAGAAAACAGAGTGTCAAGATCAGTATGACTCTTCTTCGGAACCTAAGAGGACTGGAAAATGTTTTTTCATGCTGTTGACAATGGGGGAGGAAGAATGAGTGGAACAGATTGTGAGGCTGCTCAGAGCAAAAGATAAAGAGGATGCCAATGGCAGTAGAAGAGAGATAGGGATGAAGAATAGGCATGAAATAGGTCCACTCTTTGATCGCTTGCGTTCTTCTTCCCCAAATGCCCAATGCCTCTGTATTTCCAAACCCCAGCCTTCCAGTGTCAGGGACCAGCAAACGCTCTCACTATCTCCATTCTTATATCAGGATGTGACATAATAAACATTTGGAACGCAAATCCCAGGTTATCAAGGAGCA